TATGAAAGAAAGAAAAGAAATAGACTTCAAAATGAAATATAGTAAGATACATTGGCATTGTATAGAGGACCCTCTCAACCATAAGATCCCCGGAGAATTGTATGGTACCCACTGTCTTGCAACCTCAGCATCCGGTGCAGGAGTTAGCACATCTGAGTTGCTCAGTTACTACTTGGTCACAGAATCTTTCCTCCACTTCAGGGGGCCTTTGGTAACCTGGAGACGCTGAGAATTACATAGATGAACTTGGCAGCTTATGCACGGAAGTCAGTGCGGGTCGATCAGGTTCCAGGGGAAGTGGTAGAGGTAATGGAGGCTTTCCCATGTGCAGTGGAAGGGTCTGGGACAGCAGGTTTTCTTCCAAGGAGCACAAAGCAGAGGCTGCAGCGGCCTGGTCCCAGGCTGACGACACATTGCCTCCTAATAAGAGTGAGGCTGCCAGGGCACAAAGTTACAGAGGCAACACTGGCCAGCTCCACCTGGATGGCACAGGCATCAAAGAAAAGGGTGGCGGTAACTTGCCCAGGTGAAATGGGTACTGGTGAAGATGCTGACCAGTCTGAAGAAATCCAGAAATATATGCTACAGAGATTGAGTTACTAGTCCGTGTGAGCGAGGCGCGGATGTACGCAGCTCAGGACGTAGAGGGTTACATCTGCACACTGAGAGAGCAAGCCTCTGCTTCTTTGCAGCCAGGAAAGTCCTCAATCACAGAGAAAGGCAATGAAGAAGGCAGGAGGCTTGGTCATTTGACCACCGTGTCTGTGAGTGTCAGAGCCCAGGGCTCCACTTCTACTGGGGAGTTCACCAAACCCACAGCAATCGAGCTTGCTAATCCCTTTAAGACAGGGCTGACTTGTTTGTCTGGCTTCATTAGACTACAGGAGTGGACAGACTGAAGAAAAGCCCTTTATACATGGTTCTTGTTTTACCTTTCTGGTCAAGGCGAATTGAAAAAATGAACACACACACACACACCCTTCACCAGGAGTAAAGCATGAGGTGGGCACAAAGCAAATCCCTCCAAGCTCACTGTGACCACAATTTCAGCTTTTTTTTTTTCTTTCAGAAAACTGCCCTTGAACTGAAAACGGCAATGGTTGACCTTGATGAGGTGTGGGGGTGGGGGTGGGGGTGGGGGTGGGGGGGACGTGTTTTGGAGAAGGCTAGTCACCAGCGAGATTCTTGGCTGTTTCTGGTTTACTTTCAATTTGTTTGTTTGTTTGTTTGTTTCTGTGGTTTTTTTTTTCTAAGTGACTTTGAGATAGAATGCCAAATCAATCAGCTGTGCCAGATTCCAAATTCTAAGGGCCAGATTTGGAGTCTCTGCCCTCATGAGGTGGTGTGGTTAACTGCCGAGGGCAGTTACTCGGTCACTCCCAGCTTTTGGAAGCACCACATGTGATTTCAGGCTTCAGCTGGCAACAGGTGTCTGGGAAGGCTGTCTTAGCTGGGGTCTGACTCATCCTCTTCAAATCACACTGTGATTGGTCAGGCGTCTCCTTCACTAGGCCAAGGGTCAAAATGCTATTTGAGTTTAAAGAGGCAGAACTGGAACTGGATAGATACGAGGTTTTCTCTCAGACGTGGTGATGGAGACCACCCAATTCTGGTGGCCCAGAGGCAGAGGCCAGCTTGAGGCCACCAAGAATGGGTTCAGGCCCTAGTGAAACAATGTGGGTAGCTCCCTCATCCTAAGGGCAGACATGTTAGGATCTACCCATGAGATTTGGTTCAGATTCTATCTGGACTTTGGCCCTCTGGTAAGTAGGATGACTTCTGCTGTCTGTTGCAAGTCTGGTGACCTGTTCAAATGTGTGTAGACGGTGAAGAATACGAGGTTTTGTTATTACACTGAATGTGACAGGTGGGCTCCGGCCTTGTGGCCAGGGGCTGCTGTGAGCTCCTACAGGGGAGGCCCACTGCTTTTTCTAGACAGTGTAAGGCTTTCAGAAGTAAAGCACATCTTGGTGTAGCTCATCCTGATGGCGTTCTTCTGCTCCGATGGAAGAGGAAGGCCGACAGATACCTCCCCTCACCCATTTCCCAACGTGAAGGCTCTTGTCTCTCCTAACTCGCATCCTCTGCCGGTTCGTCTACACGCATGTGTTGAACACACTACACCAGGGCTGTGTTCAGGAGGACAGCAGGGATTCCTACCAACCTCCTCCATGCCTGGAATCTGTAGCAGATTCTCCTGAATGTCTGGGTCTTAAACAGAATAAGGCCTATTATACTAAGAATCTTGTATGATTGTTTTTCTTGGAAATAAACGTAATATTTAGAGGACAAGACTCTCTCTGTAGGTAGTAGTTGCTTCCCTGGCCTTTGAGAGCCTTGGAGGGGCAACTTTCTGCTGTTTCGGAACTTGGGACAACTATCAATCAATTCCTGTGGCAACCTTCTCTTGACCTTTCAAGACTTCAGTGAGTTGGCCCAGTTTCTGTGGCCAACTGTGCAATACGACAGCTGGGTAAGCAAAAAAAAGGCTTCTGGTTCTGGGGGTCTAAGATAAAGAGGTACATTTGATGAAGGTTTCCTAGATGGAAAAGGGCACGGGACATCACATGACAAGAGAAAGGAGAACATGTGTGTACGTGTGTGTGTGTCTGTGTGTGTATGCCTTTGAGTTTTTCTCTCACAAAGCCACAGGTAAGTCAGTCATTATTCTAATAACATTATCTAATCCTATTGACCAGTCAGAGACCCCTAAGCATCATAGTAGGTGTAAGTTCCTACCTTATTAATACCTGACAATGACTATTAAATTTAAAAACATTAACCCTTGAGAAGGATGGAAGGAAGATGCTCTAGTCATGTGGCTGTAAGTACCATGAAGGGTGTGACTTAGTTCATGGCTGCATCCAGTGACGTTTGAATGTTTCTTTTGAAATAGAAGAGCTTTAGTTGTTGTCTGCCTTTTCCTCCTCTTTTCTTCTCCCCACCCCCTTTCTCCTTCACAGGTTAGAAGTTGTGCTTATGATTAACCTGTCCTCAAACTGTGAAGGCAAACTCTGCTGGGAATACTTACACTTACCCCACCCCTGCAGACAGGGCTGGCTTCCTAGGCATGTGACCAGAGGGCCGCTCACTTAGTTTACTCAATGCTGACGCTGCCTTCATGATGTGGGAAGGCACATTTGTCATAGTTTTTGGTCTGTTTGCTTTTTTTTTTTTTTAAACAAAGTGTGTGTTTTCACATTGCATGGAGTCAGGAAACTTTCTCTTGTTCTATTTACTGAAGGGGACTCTGTAATCCACAGCATGGAGGAATCTTTGGTCCCACTTGGCAAACTGATTTGCTACGTGGGGCAGTGGGTGCATCTCAAGGACTCCTGGGCCTGTCTCGGAATTCATGACATTGTCACCTCTTTCCTGCCTGGCCCTAATCTGCATTTGCCACCCAACTTGAAGTGACCTTGGGAAGTGGAGAGAAACCAGCCAGCAAATTCAGTTCTCATGCCCTTGTTCTGCTGCGTTGCCAGCCCAGGGGAGGTGGGGGCTCTTTCTGTCAGAAATAGACTTGGTAGACAATGGCCTCACTAATGGTTCTCATAGGAGCCTGCTGTCTTGACCCCTTGAGGAATTTAGGGGATTACCCTGGCTTGAAGAACTGAGTGACACCTTTGCAGCTTCGTTTACTGATGGCAATCAATTTCTACCTCTTTGGAGCCAACCCTGAGTATTTTCTTATATTAATGTGAGTTTGTTGCCAAGGTGGGAATGACTTTTCTGTCCTTAGGACTTGAGGACCTTGATCTTGGTGGGCTGGGAACCTCTTAAAGTGTACTAAGTTCTGGGTTGTCTCAGAGAGACAAGAGTTTGCGTCCCAGTGGGAGCCCTGGTGCTGGAGTCTGGAATGGGAATGTCTTTCTGTATGTGTGCAGTCTGTGGCTTTTGAACTACCTATGACCCAACACATGCATGTCACTGAGGTTGGACACCCCTGAGCAAATACATCTGTTCTGTGCCTGGTGTGATGGGATGGCCCCTGGTAGAGTCTCAGTCCTGAGGAAAGCCACCCAATGGGACCACCGGTTGGGGGCTGGGCTCAAGGAAAGGATCCTTATGAGCTACATGCTCTGTCCTGTCTTGATGGCCATTGTTTCTTGCTTCTCCACAGTGGAGCTTAGGTGAATTCTTTACATCAAGAATTATTTGAGCCCGACAATGGTAGTGCATGCCTTTAGTCCCAACACTTGGGAGGCAGAGAATCACTGAGTTTGAGGCCAGCTGGTGAGTTCCAGGATATTTGAAAAGCTGTGTCTGTGGGTTTCCTGGTGTACTTCAGGAGGTCAGGGAATGGTCATGCACAGGTCATTCTTTGCTGAACTCTTTCTTCTGAGAGAGATCTGTTCTCTCTCAGAGGATAAGAGTATATCAGATTTTTAAAGGTGGCCTGGAATAATTCTTAGTCTTTTGCTGTGAGACAGTGGTTTTACCCTGTAAAGATTTGTTTCTTATACCGGTTTAATAAATGCTGATTGGACAGTAGCCAGGCAGGAAGTATAGGCAGGGCAACGAGAATTCTGGGAAGAGGGAAGTTTCAGTCTGCAGTCGTCACCCAGACAGAGAGGAAGCCAGACACAGAGCAAGCAAGATGTGACTGCCTCACCGAAAAAGGTACCAAGCATGTGGCTAACACAGACAAGAATAATGGGCTAATATAAGTTATAAGAGTTAATAAGAAACCTGAGCTACTAGGCCAATTAGTTTATAATTAATGTAGACCTCTGTGTGTCTACTTGGGACTAAATGGATGTGGGACTTGGTAGGACAGAAACCCCAGTCAACAGTCTTTACAAATGCTTCTTGGAAAACTAAAAGTGAGTAATCAAGTCATGATTTTTTTCCTCTGTATGATACAATCGGTTTTATTTTTAACATGTTACCACAAGTGGCAGAGACGCCCAAAGTCATTCAGTCTGAGCTTCCTATTTAACAGATAGAAAATTGAGGCTATAGAGAACGGGTGGCTGCCTGGGATCACAGGGAGCCATGGGAACAAAATTAATAAGTTCTGCCGCTTTCTTTCTGCACCCTGCTCTCTCCAACACAAAGGCCTTAAGACATTCTAGTTATTAGCTAATTCATGAGAGTCAAGGCTCTGAGGAGTGAGTGGAACAGGGCTTGCCACGTGCTCAGAACATTAGATGTGGGATTGTGGTCGTTTTTACTCCATTTTACCAGCTCTTTACTGAATCTTATGCCAGGCTCTGAGTTCAGTGCTGTGAATAGCAAGTAGATATGATTTGTGTTCTCAAGAGCAGAGAGAGCGAGCGCGCGCGCCAAATAACAACCCCTCTGTTGTGCCTCCTAAGAGATCACTGGCTCCAGCATCAACACCTCCTGCTAGAACAGTGTTTGAGAGCTCTGGTCCTTGGGTTTTGAAAGTCTATAGAGCAATCCCTGCATCCCAGCAGGCAGGATGTCCTTCTCTGCTTTGTTTCAAACCAGAGCTCATGGCTGACAGCTGATTCAGTGGGACCTGAACATTCTGTCTTGCTGGCTCATAGAGGAATCTAAGCCAAGGTTAGACGCTAACATTTGTGTTCTCTTTGTGTGTGTCTGTCTGTCTAGCTAGCTCTCTGTGTGTGTCTGTCTGTGTGTGTCTCTCTGTCCCTCCATCTCTGTCTCTATTTCTCTCTCTCTCTCTCTCTCTCTCTCTCTCTCTCTCTCTTTCTCTTTCTCTGTCTCTCTCCCCCCTCTATCTCTGGAAACACTGAATACCAATTCCAAATTATATGGTCCATATTTATCAGATGAGGAAATCGATACCCAGAACAGTTTAACCACCTGGTTAAGTTGTGAATCCAGGTAACAAGTGAATTTTTCAAATCATTTAAACTTGTCGATTTAGGCGCCAGAGCACAGGAATAGGTTTCCCTAAGAAAGACTTCATCCGAAATGCTGCTGGTCCTATGACAAGATATCTTGGAAAGAAATCAAGTTGGCTGCGGTCTCACTTTGCCACAGACCTTCACTAAGTCACAGCGATTAATGGTTGCTTCCGAGTGACTGGAAGTCAAACCAGATTGTCCCAAATGCCAGTTGCTCCTGCTCCCTCTGACAAAAGGCTGAGCCCCTGTGGCTGAAGCGAAGCCAGGTGGCAGGCAGGCTTTTGCTGCACCAGTCCCAGCCCCAGGAACTCCCAGAAGCCACAGGAAGGATTCAGAGGCCATAGCCCTACCCCAAGATGTTTTGGGTTAAGCATGGAATTATTGTTCTCCCTTCAAAGCCCAGGATAAAAGCTGCTCATGAATGCCCTCAGTGCCCTGAAAGAGCATGCGCCTTTGATGCCTGTGACGACCCTCTCTGGCTGTATGAGTAGCTCAGCCCTTGCCTGGTTTCAGAACCCAGGCCTTCTGGAGTGGGTGAGACCTCAGAGTTCACTGATCCCACCTCTCCTAATGACCATGTATTTCTTGGTGTACTTCCACCCAGTCCTGTTCATAATTCTCCAAAAAAAAAAAGCTCTTCCCCCACTTTGAATAGGACTACACATTGTCAGAACATGCCCTGGGCCCTGTCTAGGGCTCCCAGCTCTGTCATCTGAGGCCTCAGCCTGTCCTCTGTTGACTTGGGCCCCTGGAGAAGTTTGAGTCTACTGTGAGATAGGCTTCAAACCAGCTCTCCATGTCAGTATCTGTCTATCTTCCCATGTGTGGTTCTGAAGCCCCCCACCCCCTGCCAGTTTACAGGAGCTCCCAAATGGACAAATTGGAGTGCAAAGGCAGCCCCCAAACTCCAGCTGCTCACTGCCAAAAGAGGGAAATGGGGTTCTTATCTCCCTGGCCTCATGAGAGTCTGGTCAACATTGAACTTGGAAACCATTAAATGTTTTGAGTTTGTTCTCAGTTGCCTTGGAAACGCATTATCTGAAAATCGTCTTCCTGCAGGCTCATGACTCGTGACCTACCACCCTAGAATGGGGCCTGATTTAATTCTCTTTGACTCCTGTCTCAACATAAACATCGTTGAGGTCAAGAATTTTCTAGATAATTTGGAAATGGCCACAGAGTACAAAGCAGCAGACTTCCTGCTGAGCTGGATTTTGGGGGAGTATGTCTGATGCCAAGAGAGCCTGGGTACATTACCTATATGAACAGTCAGTGACATAAACTGAGCAGCGGATATAAGCAGAGATCTGCAGGCGAGGAGGGTCCTCATCCAGTTATCAGGAGAAGCTCTACAGCTCGCCACCAGTCTTTAGTTTTGTGACTAGGTAAGAGGCAGAAGACCCTGGGGGCCAGCTGCAGCTGGGATAGCTTGTAGGGCAGAGCTGACCCTGAAGCTTCAGAGGTGACCTCTGGAGGACTGAGTGCTATTTCCCTGAATGGCTTCTTAATGAGCTCCTCCAGGCCCAGGGCCCTTCTCTGTCATACACTCAGATACACTTAATATTCAGTGGAGTGACCCAGCAGAGAGGAGTCTTATATTCCCCACCTAACTGGATGAGCAAACCCACCAGGGGTTATTCAGATCACAGTAAAAAGAGCTTGAGTACGTGGCCTGATCTAAAACATACAGGGGAGAATAATAGACACTTCTGCTAGGTCTTTGGAGATGAAGGGGTGGGCATTAGGGGGAGTGTGTGGCTCTGTAAGGGGTCCGACTATTTATCCCTTATGCACCAACAAGAATACAGTTCTAATATAAGAGGAATAACGGGCTGGGGAACTGGCGGGCTGTGTGCTGTTAAAAACATTGTTTATTTCCACTCAGTAAAAGTTGTGACTTTGGATGAATGTTTGTGCTTAACTTGTGTAAGTGTGTGTGTGTGTGTGTGTGTGTGTGTGTGTTTGTGTGTGCAGGGGTGTGTGTGTATGCACGCGCGCATGCTTATGCTCATATATGTTTAAGCCAATGGCTTGATTGGAGTGGAGTCTGGTTTTACCCTGCACTTGAATAGGATACCTAGAGAAGGACCAGACTTTAGTGTCCCAAATCCCAAGCCTAATTTCAATAATTCTACTAACCCCCTGTCCCTGCCCCTGCCCCTTAAGACCAATGGTGGTGTTGGATTTGACTCCCAACTATGAAACAACCTATGAAAGATTAGGAGAGGCTCCCTGCTGCCTAACTGGGTAGTGAACGGGAACAGGTAGCTCATTGTTGAGCCAGACCCCACCTCAGAAGATGACTTGGGGTTTCCCTACGGCACAGAGAGAGGTTTGTGTTTGAAGCAGCAGGCCTACAAGGCTGCCTTGAGGGGAATGTTGCATCTGAAGGTGAACTTTGTTCAGTTTTGTTCTGTGGGGGAGAAACAGGGCAAGGACCTGCCCCAGTTTGGGACTGTCATGACTCAGTCCCAGATTGGAGGTGTGCGAGGAGAATTTTTAAGTGTTTGTAGGAAAACCTCAAGAAAACAAGACAGGGGGTCTCCGTGACCTCGGTTTCTTCCAAATCACAGAATTATTCTCGGAATTTGCTTTCACATCTCTCCCAGTTATCGTGCATAGGAATAAGCTTACTTCAGATTACTCATTATAACTGGCTTTGTCTATTTGTTTATGTGACTGTATGGAAAAACCCATTTTTGCCACATATGACTTGCCTGCTACGTGCAGCTTGTCCTTGTGACCGGATGTTTGCTCAGGTGACTCCTCTTAACCCTGTGTGTATAAATTGTCTGATGCTCTGAATAAAGCTTGCTAGTTAGAGAAACTTTAGTGCGCCTCGTTTATAGGCTCCATTCTCCTAGGTCCCACCGCCTCTAGAGCAGAGTCCTGGTCTATCGTAGAGACAGCTGTCCTGACTTGGGCTCCACTATCTTTAGCCCAAGGCTACATGCAGTCAAAGTTGAACCTTCATGATTACTTTATGAGGTATGGTAGATAGTTTGTTTCTTAGGTGCAGTTCTTGGCCAGCCTCAGATGGGTCAAACATAAGCAGGGGCAAAGATAAAAGAATTCCAATCACTATTCCCTAATGAGCATGGCAAACTCTTAGAACTAGCTAGGGCTGGCACACAATAAATCCTGGCTGAATGAATAATGAGCCAACATCACTGCTGGAGAAAAGAGCCTGGAAACCCCCAGACTCTGAGCACACACATGTGTGAGTTTGAAAGTTGCAGGGGGAAGTTACCTGTCATTACTAAATGCGATGGAAAAGCATGAGTTTTGTCACTGAGGAAGACTCTAGTTCCAATGTGACCTTTGCATTTTGACTCAGATCTGTTCTACTTGCTAGTAAGCAGAGACCATTACACTGGGAATACTTTTCAAAATTCATATTGTAATGTTTTTAGTTTTTTTAAAAATGTGTTTACATGTGAATATAAGCATTTGACTTTGCAATTCTTTTTGGGTTTGTGGAAAGCAAGACAGTTTTGGCATATTCCCATTTTACAGCTAGGGATGTTGAGGCTGGATGTCCCCCCCAAATACACAAAGATGAGACAGAAATGACTAGAGATTTTATGTCTTTCTAGTGCCCCAAGCCAGGGGAACTTGAATCATCAAAGCGTGTAATTTTCCTTTTGTTCCACCCAATGAGAGGTGGCTCTCAATCTGGACTGCATGGAAATGCTATTATAAGCCAGATGCAGGCTCTGAATGGCTATGCAATTACCAGGACAAGGGTATAATTTGGGGAGTGCAGCCTGGGTGGGCTTTACTTATGATAAACTTGGCTATTATCAGACAAGATCATGTGTTTGAAGCAAGCGAAGGTGATTTGGGTTGCAAGCACTGTCTGGCCCAGGCAGGCTGTAGCCTTCATCTCTTGGAGGTGCTCAGTGGAGTTCAGTGTCTCCAGCCATTGCTGTGAATTCAGAAGAAAAAGTAAGAGAAATACACACAGGTACAGCGACCCTGGTAGTGGCCTTCTTAGCTCCAGCACCTCTGGACAGTGTTCCATCCCCTGTGTGAAGCCTGAGCTAAGCCTTCCCCCCTATTTGGAGTACCAGACCTGACAGGCCTGCTGTGTCCTGCGGATGGATGGCTACTTCATCTCTGGTGTTCACCAAGGCACGTCGGAGCCTTTTGGTTCAGTTTCCTCACCTGGAGACTTGGTGGGGGCAGTGAGAGCAGCTACTGGTCAATACGCTCCTGGGCTGGGCCGGACGCTGGTGTACAGTGAATGCCTACTCTCTGCCCCACGGTGATCTGATCTATTCTTCAAACCAGCATATGAGGAAGGCCGTCTTACTCATATGTAACAGAGGGAAATGTATGTACATGAAGGGATTTAATGACCCGTGAGAAGGAAAAGAGAGTGGCCCTGGACATTCCAAAGCAGCCTTCCGCCTTAGCTAGCCTGCGTTTGCTACCAGACCCTACTATCCTCAAAAAAGTAACTGAGAAGGTGGGGTGAAGCGAGGCCCACACCCTGAGTTTGACATAAACAAGGTTACTGTGCCATGTTCTTGCTCACAAAGCCAGACATCTACCATGCATGACTGCTACTGTCTACAGCTTTATCCTTGGAACAGGCTTTCCTTGTAGATACGATTTACGGAGCCACTCAACCACAGAATTGTCGGGGCTTGCTTACGGCATCCAGTCTAAGCAGACTGCTAAGATTTAGTGAAACCTAAATCTTGACCCAAGACTGTCTGGTACTCCCTCTTGCTGAGATACTCCTGGTATGTTCTTCGCAGCAGAGAGTAAGGAACTCAAATCAATCAGATATGTTCCTGGGGCACTCTGGGAAGGCCCCACAGTTGATCGGTGGGTTTAAACCTCAGAATCATCTTTCTCCAACCCCAGAGCCTGCGTTTTGGGAGTTCCTATCTAGGAGAGTGAAACATTCTCAGCACTGTAAAGAGTTCCAGTCCCTACTGTGTGCTCCTCTGAAGGGCAGGTTAAAGTTCTGATAGCCACTCCTGATGGCCCTGATGGCGTTATTGCACTCTGAACCTCCCATCCCAGCCAACAACCCTTTCTACTTGCTGACCATTTAAAAGAAGAGAAGATGATAGACTCCAACACCTCTCACTGTCCTGTGGTCACACCCCTGGACAAGCCAGTATGTTTGGTAGGTAATGCCCACAGCCTGTAAAGTGACTCTCATCATTTCTGTCGTTCTACCCTCTTGGCACACAAGGCTGCCATGTGCTCAATTGGCGAAGACAGTTAAAATGCCTTTCCCAGCATTGTTCTTTGTTCTTGATAATGTCTTTATACAGCGTCCTTTAGCCCAATAAGCTTGAGGTTAAAGAAGGCTGCTAGCTGCTCTGACAGACACGTGGGGGCCCAACAGTCTATGCCCCTGATGGTTTTGGACACAGACTCTGATCTAACGCCCATCTACAGGCATCCAGCACCAATGCCAGAGAAGCATTCTGCCTCTGCAGCTGCTAAGATAGCAACAATTACTATGGGCGCTCAGCATCAGTGCCACTTAGGAAAGATTGTGCTGTGCCAAGGACATTTTTATACTTATTTATTCCTCACTTTAAAAATGCTCTAAAGGACGGGGGATGTAGCGTAATTGGTAGAGTTCTTGCCTAGCGTGCACAAAACCCTGGCTTTGATCCCCCGGCATATATAACACTTGGCATAGCGTCGCACACTTCTAATCCTAGTTCTTGGGAAGTGGAGGCAGGAGGACCAGAAGTTCAAGGTCATCCGTTGCTACACAGAGAGTTAGAGGCCAGCCTGGGCTACAAGATACCCTGTCACCAGCCAACCAACAAACAAATAGTACTATAAGGCAAACAGTATTGTTATTATTTTATAAATGAAGGTCCAAGAAGCTTGATCCTAATCTGAGCTGACAGAGTTTATAGTTGACACACTACCCCCACCAAGGCCAGAAGGACTTCTTTGCCTGATCGCAGTAACTGCTACTGACAGACTCTCTAAGAACAGCGGCCTAAAGCTATGTCTTTCTCAAGAACAACATTCAGACATTTGATTAGGGCACATATATTGATCGCAGGAAAAACAAAGGACTAGTCCTTTCCCTAGCTGGGGACCATGCTGAAGGCACATCCCTGTTTTCCAGATCCCTATGGGGCCAGCTGGGCTTAGCGATGGTGCTCCCCCTGGCCAGCCTATCCACCCAGCCCCACCCCCTGCCGGACCCCAGGGGTCATCTTAGATCTCTTTAGGAATCTTCCTATACACTATCCTCTCTCATGGTCTTCCTTCTGGGGAACCCCACCTGCAACAAGGATGTTTTGCAAGATTAGCTTGGGGGAAATGAGCTTTGAACATTTTTGTCCACCTGCTTCTGCACAAAAGTGCAGTGTCTGGAGAGGTGCACGTTCTCAGCAGGAGGGACAGGCAATCATGTGTTCTTGGCCTCAGCCAGCACAGGCTGGAAGTAGTTCTGTGGCTTCCAGGATCATCTTACCTGTCCGAAAAATATTCATACTCACACACACACACACGAACACACACACACACACACACACACACATACACACACACTCAGGCTGAAGGACCTGACAGTCTGAGTTTATGTTTAAGGAGGTAAAGGACGTCAACACTCACAGTTTGACCTTCAAAAGAAATCATTCATGGTGCCTGAACTTGAGCAAACAAGCTGGGCGTTCTGATACCATTCCCTGAGTCTACCAAGTCATTGTCCATTTAGTTTTACTCTGTGCCAGTCCTTGTGCTAGCAGGCAGAAAGACAGAGATGAATGAAATCATTTCTGGTTTTGAGGCCCTTGACAAACCCATCAGAATAAAGTACACAATGATGGTCATTTGTAGTGACTCGTTGAAAATGTTCAGGAAGAAGAAAAAGAAGAAAGAAAACCAGCACACATATTTCCATGCTTAATTCAATGAAAATGATGACTAAGTGCATACAAAATATTGTCACCCAATGGACAATGGCTCAAGAGGTAAATGCTCGCTGCACAAACATGAGGACCTCACTCTGTCCTTGGCACCCATGTAGAACTCAGGTGCGGGTGGTGGCATGCACTTTGGGGAAAGCATAGGCAAGCAGACCCGCGGGCCTCAAGGGCCACGGGGTCTAGCCAAATCAGCGAACTTCCTAGTGAGACACGCTGTCTCCAAAATCAAGGCACACAGCTCTTGAGAGTCGATACTTAAGGTTGACCTCTGGCATTCCCATGAGCATACATACATGCACACCTGCATGTTACAGGCCCGCCTGCCTATGCCTCACACGTGGCAACACTGTCAACCAAAGTTATTGTGAAAAGAAACACGCTTTTCTACTGTGAGAAGAAACACGCTTGAGAGGTGAGCTGCTTTCTCGCCAGGGTTGCTAGTCCTTGCACACTCTCCTCCGAACACTGCAGCCTCGAAGCAGTCTTCCAATCTTCAGACCTGTGGTGAGGGCTCCTAAGGAAGGAGGAAGGATTAGGTGTCGTGTCCTGAAGCTGTCCTGCTGGATGAGGGACCTGCTTGCCCTCCTGATGTGATTTGTAGAGTAAGAGCTAAGAACAAGAAGCTTCCTTCAATTCTTTACCAGGGTTCCTCCAAAAACACCAAACAACTTTTATCCAGCTACTTGGGGGGGGGGGGCAGATGTAACATTTTTTCACTGGTAAGCATAAATTAAGCCAACTTCTTCTTTATACGGAAAGCAATACATCAAAAAGGAGGGAGGAAAAAAGAGCCTTTTGTGACCCATCTTGGTTCTCTGGGAGCAGCATAACCTGGCCTTGATCCCAAAAAAAGAGTAGGAAGCTATTTTTCATACTGAGTTCAGTTCGGTTTTTAGAAAGGCTGAATTATGGTCCACTTGCCTGTAAGTTTACCTCTCTCTCTCTCTCTCTCTCCCTCTCTCTCTCTCTCTCTCTGGCACATGTTTCCATAGGTGTTCACCTGTCTAGCTGGCTCTTATACTTTTAAGTCTAAAGCAGACTTTTGGTGTCAAGACTGAAATCCTGAGGGAACACCAGACCAGAAAAGAAGCTGACCCTTGGGAGAAATGTCCTTCCAAGAGGACACGGGGGTATCAGCAGTACTCCAATATGTTCGTGTGAAAAAAGAGACACAGCGATGCCCGGACTATTCTACGCCTTCCCAGTTGCATGCTACTAGCGGTGAGGCTGCATGTGTTGGGGGTGGGTAGGGCTCTGAATGGAATTGTTCCCGTCCTCTGCTGTTGCAACAAAACTCAGGTTGTGGCACATGTCTTTAATCCCAGCACTCGGGAGGAAGAGACAGGTGGATCTCTGTGAGTTCAAGGCCGGCCTGGTCTACAGAGTGAGTTTCGGGAGAGCCTGAGCTACACAGAGAAACCCTGTCTGTCTGTGGGAGGAAACAGCCCACCACAACAAAAGCCCACCTTGGAACACAACATCCCTACTGTGTGTGCCTGGAGGCTGGTTAACACTCCTTTCTGAGGAGGCTTTCTACATGAGTGTCTGGGTCCAACCCCAGACCCTATGGGTGTTCATTCTTTTCTGGTTCTTTTTTTTTTTTTTCT